ACACCTTTGGCCATTTCTACGGAAGGCTATATAGGACATGACTGGAAAACGAATTGGGCCTGCTATTTCGCCCGAGGGCGGATTAGTATTTCGCCCGGAGCTGATTAGTCTCCCCGGAGACTGGGGGAGCCACAGATTGGGGTTGGGGAGGGAGAAAAATTATTCTTTTTTAAAAAATTGAGAATAATATACATGTACAAGGAAAAAGCTCTTCTCGCAGTCTGTAAAAAAAGTCTGTAACTTTTCAGGGGAATGGCAACACTCTTGAGCCCGCGCCCGATCAGAGTAGAGAACTAATGCGCTGTTCTTCAGGTTTTATGGGTAATATGTTTGATAGATTCATAAGGGTAATTTTCAGTCAGTTATATTGACATTCCTGTTAACTTAATCTGCTGGGAAAAGATTATTTATAAGGAGAACATCTCTGCCTTTGCTAAATGCAGGAGTGAGAGCGCACTTCATGAGTAACTTTGCATTTTCGACACAACGGCGAGCAAAAATGTAGGAACAGTCTATCTGAGTCAACCCCCCCCCCAAGAAGTCATCCCGCATTCTGAAACACAAATTTACGCCACTCCCCGGGCGAAATAGTAACCTGCCCGGGCAATATGGTCTATGGTCCCATGGTCTACAATAGTGGACCCTGCATGCCGCGCCTGGGCAATCAAAATCCCATATGAGTAATGTTCATATTTGTCAAGACAATTCTTATCGTGCAGTTGGCGTTCCGATTTTCTGAGTGCATCTGGTTCAACGTCTATCTGCATGCGATATGCGCTTCCATGGCTACAGAACTGGTCCCTTGTCAGTCTACCTGTTTTATACACGTACACGTACAGGTCCGCCGCGCGAAGCAATCCAGCTTGTATGTCACTGTCATTGCACTGTCAGCCGCGTGATGTGAACGGGTGATATCGGGGCTATTGCAGCGCACGATTGAGAGAAACACGGAAGCTTGAAATACAAGTAGGGCCTATTCAATCATTAATGTAAGATACTATATGAACGAGATGAAATCAATCTAACTTTGGTAACGCATTCAGTGTGTGGAAAACTGCAGGTAACCAACGTCAAAACCCGCGTTGATACTTTAGCGGTTAGGCCCCCCCCGTAGGCATAGTACTTGGTAGGCCGTCGGCACGTCTTTATGTACAATGTACATGTACTGTACTTTAGCCGGCCTGGTGTCGTAACACAGCGAAACTGCAATTTTTGGGGTGAAAATAAGAGTTCCATAATCTCCAATTTTCCTTTGTTGTAGTTTAGTAGCTATACTCCATGACCATGACTTTATACACTGCATGTAGGCTAAGTCTTCTGCAATGATGTTGTGGAGGGTTTTGAAGGAGTCCTGAAGACTGACCAGTGTTCTCCATGCATCGGGCTGTTTTCAAAATTTTGGGCCGCCCTGCTAAAATTTTGCCGCCCTGCCAAAATTTTTGGCCGTGGAGAACACTGACTGAACCCCGTCTGGGACTAGATCATGGCATTGTTTTCTCTTTACATGGTATTAACTGCCGGGCTTTTTTAACATTTGGCACATGGTCGGACAAAAAGTACCTTACATACATGTACATGTAGGTATGCTATTGGGGAAGAGTTCCATATACTGTAGTATACAGATGCCAGTAATTATTCCCTACCGTGACCTATTAGCCGTCAGTAAACAAAAACGTCCAGAAAAGTTCAATTTAGGAGGGAAAAAACCAAGCTGATTACTATTTATAAAACACTTAGAATTTTTTAGACCAGTCCTGTTGAGTTTGTGCACAGGGTGCCAGATGGTGTCTTTATGTAACTCTTTCCTCCTATTGCCCAACCATGTCCAAATCGTCCTCATTTTCACAGAGACAAATTGGCCCGAAATTAGTGTTTCTTTAATCAGATCTCTGTGTATTTTTTTGGGCAAAATCAACTAAACTACATGTACATACAGTATATGCAGTGCCAACAACTTGGTGTAAAAATTTTTTATTCCAGCCAAATCATAATGATGTGTGTTGGATAAAATTCAACTAAATCGCATTTTCTGTTTTTACAAAGAGACAAATTTGTCTTCCATTGATATAACGTTAGCAAAAAAAGGGCCAAACTAAAGCTGAAACTTGTTTCCAGTTTTCATTAAGAGATAAATTCGACTCTAGAAACATATATACGGTAAATGTAACAATTGGCAAAAGTTTGTAGTGTGTGCCATTTTCATGAAAAGACAAAAAGTCACTCAAATTTTATTTTATTTTTGGGTTCTGCCCAGGATGCTTTTAGTGCCGGCAGGACTATCTAAGCGGAGCGCCACCATCGGTTGGCACGTACCAGA